TCCAGGGCGACAGAACAGGGAACTCTGAGTCTGCAGGAGGGCTAGGCCCCAGAAGGAGGCCGGCAGAGTGAGGAAGCCTGGGGTGTCTCACCGGAAGCCATCCAGGGAGTGGACCGATGCCGAATACTGATTCAGGAAGAGTCGCACATCATTCAACGGCCAGTGGTCGGAGCGGCAGGGTTCCACGAACTGTGGGTCCGAGGTAACATCTAGCACTGGTACAGCCCAGGGACAGGCCAGGATGGGGATCAGAGGGCAGCGGGCAGGACAGCTCACCTTCTCCACAAGGTCCACAAACAGGTCTCTAACATCCTTATTGTGGGTCAGCTTGGCGGCCACATTCACCAGCCCCCGGGACAGGTTCTGTGGGGCAGGGAGCCTGGGAGTTCTGCCTTCTGCCCAAGAGGCTGGGGGCTGAGCCCAAATCTATCCACCTCCCTCCATCAAATAACTCCCCATTGTTTAAGAGCTGGCTCCCCCTTCACAGGCAGGCAGAGGGAGCAGCAGCGCCACCTGCCGGTCAATCTCAGGCATGAGCAGAGCTGCCCGGAGGGGACAGTGCTCTGGAGGCTGACGATGCCAATGGGACAGAGGCTGGATTGGGCCACAGACCTTGAAGTTGGCTTCCATCTCAGAGAAGACCCCGAGCTTTCCCCGGAGGGCAGTGCACACCAGGCTGCAGGGAGACAGGGTCAAGCCCAGAGTCGCCTGGGCCCCCACTTCAGGCCCCGCCCCATAGACCCCAAGGGTCACCTCTTGTGCAGGTCCAGAAGGTCCTTGTCAGCCACAAGCACCTTGAGCTCCTTCAAGTCCTGGAGAAACTCCTTGTCTAAGTCCATGTCCATGTCATCCGCCTGGGGGTCTGAGTGAGGTCCATGAAGGGAGTTGGGGTGGGAGATAAAAACCCCTCCTGTGACATCCCGAGCCTTCCTCCCCCACCACCTCATTGCGCCCCATGAGACAAAAGAGCAAGTGGAGTGTGAGGGACGTGGAGTGACTGGCCCCAAGCCATAGGGAAGCCGTGGGCCCTTTGTCTGCAGACGTGTGGGTGGGAACACCGGACTGGGAGCAGAAGTGGCTGGGGAGGGGCCCTGAAGAAGAAAGGATGCTGGGAACGGGGGCCTGCAGGAGAAACCGCTGGTGGGAAGCCAGGCCCTGAGAAGGTGAGGAGGTGTCCAGGCACCTGGGTCGGTGGGGGCCTCACCGACGGCTCCAAGGGTCCAGTTCTGGATCATGAGCTCAGCACAGAAGGCAAAGTCCCCAAAGCTCAGATACTGCAGTTTTTTCTTCCCTGTCTCAAAGCGATTGTTGGCAAAGAAGACGATGGCTGCATAGTCCCTGCAGGGAGGGGAGAGTGGGCCCATCAGGGCTTGAAATTCCTTCTTAGCGAGCAGCTCCCACCTGCAACACTGGCTGGGCATCCGAGTTCTGGCCTCTCTCTACCCTAACTCACTGTGTGATGTGTTTCAAGTCACTTTTCTCTGGGCCTCCTCATCTGGGGAAAGAGAAGGTTTCAGCCCAGGTCTCCTAAGGGACACAGTGGGAGACCACAGGGTAACAGCTACCATTCACTGAGTACATACTAAGCCCCAGGGGCTGTGCCGTCATGGGCTTTCCATGTGGCACCTCGCAACAGCCCAGTTGGTGAATGGCCGGGCTGGGATTCAAACCCAGGCCAGTCTGATCCAAAGTGCAGACCAGGAGTGGGATAACCATCCCCCCAGCCCAGCCAGGAGGTCAAGCGGGTTGGTGTGGGGAATATGGACCAGCCTCAGGGGGCAAGGAAGGAGTGTGCAGGAGGGGGAGGCAGCTGGCTCCTCATCTAGCCCCTCACCTGGCCCCTCACCTGGCCAGCCGGTCGGACAGGAGGAAGTGTTGCTGGATGTTATCGACCAGGGAGCCCCGCATTTCCTCCACCACCTTGAAGACTCGCTTAAAGTTGTCAAACTGCAGGGCAGTTAGAGGAGGAGAGAGGACTGGTCAGAGGTTGCTCACCCAATAAGCTGTTTAGTGAACGTCCCTCTATCACCTACCCACCTATACAGTCAACAGACACTGAGGGAGCATCTGTTATTCCTTCAATAAACTATTAATTATTAATACCTGTTATCAATTCAACAAGTGTTCACCAGCTTCTGCCATCTTGCCTTGGATACATGTTTACTCACTCTTATCAATAAATTCACCCCCATTTTAGCATCATGCTCTCCAGTTCTTCACTAATTTGTGCTGAAACTGACCGTCCTGGCTAAGCCCCAGGAAAGCTAAGGTCAGATCTGGGCTTCTGAGAGGCCACTCTGGCTGAAGAGTAGGGAATGGCTTGGAAGGGCCAAAAAGAGAGCAGAGTGGATATGAAGCCACTGCCACCGAGGTGCTGGAGGAGCCTGGAGGTGGGGCAGTGACCAAAGGGATGGTGTGAAGGGGCGGGCTGCAGATGAGTGTGGTGTCCACCTGTCTCCGGCAGCTCTTGAGGGTGATGCCTGTTTTGGTGCTGATGTCATCCAGGTCTTTCTTAGTGCCCTTGGACAGCTTCTTGCCCAGCACCTCCCGCACAAAGGCCTCGTCAAAGGCATAGTACCTGTGAGGAGTCAGGGGACACTGCTGACTTTCCATAAAGGAGGCGAAAGGAGAACTGGCAGGACCTGGGTTTGGCCCCTTCTGCTCTCAACTTTCTCCCGGCCTAGATAAGCCCCGTCCCTCCCTGGGCCTCATTTTCAGCCTGCAAAATGGGTATATGGCCAGACTGGTTGGCGTCCCCACCATCCCGCCAGGTGAGCACCTCTCGATGAGCAGCGCCTGTCGAGAGGGCGGGATCTGAAAGATGAGCTGGTGCAGCAGCTTGGGCGGGGCGTGTAGCAGGCGCTCAAGCATTTGGAAAGTACGGTAGTGGTCCATGGTGTCGCTCTGCAGCACCGCTGCTGTGGCGCCGGTCTGCTCCAGGATTCCCGAGCGCACCCTCAGGGCCACCGCGTCGCTCACTAGGAAGTGAGCGCTAGCATCAGGCTCCGCCCCGCCGACCCCAGAGGCCCTTCAGGGATTCCAGACCCGACCCCTAGGTATTCGGTACTCCCAGGCCTCTGCCCACTGCCCTATAGGATGCCTACTCCTGGCTCTGCCCGCTCTCCCATCCAAAACAACAGCTCCGCCAAACCGGCACCCACAGACGGTCCCCCACAGACCCGAATAACCGTCCAGCCAGAGGCGATACACGTCCTCGTCGATGAGGGTCGTGTTCCCCACGAAGATGTCCAGCTCGCTGGCCATGGCGACGCCGGGACCCGGGCGCTACCGCAGCGCCCCAGCAGGAGCAAGCACTGCCCGGGCCCGGCGCGCTGCCGCCGGGCCACTTCCGTGAGCACAGGCATTCGGCTCCCGGCACCCGGAGCCAGAAAAGGACCACTTCCGGGACAGAGCGAGTCGGGGCAGGAGCGGCGAGGAAAGAGGCGGAGACGGAGGCAGTGGAGTAGCCCCGCCCTCCTCCCAGCGGGAGGGGGAATCTCAGGCTCTCAGTCCCCACCCCACCCCACCCTCACCCCGGCCAGGTTAGCGGGAGGGCGTCCAGAGTCAAGGTCTCCGGCCAGTTTGACCTATCCCGGCAACCTCTACCCTCACATCCTTCTGGTTTTTCTCTGCCCTTTTCGGGGCCTCCCTACTTTGACCTGTATCCTAAATTTAGGGGCTCCACTGGGCTCTATCCTAAGTCTTTTCTCTGAAAAAAAGGTGTCTGGCTCATCCTCAAGGGCCCTTGCTGGGTGGGAGCCCCTCAGTCCATCCTGCAGACGAGCCCCTCTCCTGAACATGGGGCACCTGTTCCCATGGTTTTAACCACCTCTCCCCCACACACTAATGACCTCTCTTATTCTGCAGCTTAGAGCTCTGTCTGCAAGTCCACATCCAGACGGCCACCTATGTGTGACTCCACTCTGTCCCCCACAGGACCTTCAAAAGCCAGACAGACCTGTCGGTCTCCCGAATCTGTTTCTTTCCTGCGTTCCTATCTTGGTGACAGCCCCACCATCCACGCGGTTCTCATACCAGAAACCTGGGCTTTCTCCCAGACTCCTCTCTCCCTACATTCAGTTCTGCCGATTTGCCTCCTGAATATTTCTAGTATCTGTTCTGTCCTCTCCACCCCCACTGGCACTGTCCCAGCCCACTCCTTCTGCATAGCTCTCCTTGCCCATTGACACAGTGTTCTTAGTAATCTCTCTGCCTACATCCCCTCCCTGTGGTCCATCCCACACAAAGCCGTCCAAACAACCTTTTTTACAAAATGCATATTTAAAAATGTTACTCTCCTGCTTAAATTCTTACTGGTCTGTGTAAACGCTCCAGCCTGGTATTGAAAACTCTTAAAAATCTGGCTTCTGATTACCTTTGTTACCTCCCTTCCTCTCTTACCACTTTCTCTAAGCACCTGCCTTTCCAAAACAAACAAATAAACAAAAAACCCAAAAAACAAGCTACTCTCACGGTTTCCAAAGCAGCAAGCCTCTTTCAGACCCCAGCGATTCTCATCATGCTATTCCCTCTCCTTGAAATAGCTCTCTCATTACTTGCCAAAGTCCTATGCATCTTTCAGGGCCCCTCGGATATCACCTCTTTTGGGAAACCTTTTGCAGGTAGGGGGCGGTCCCTCAAAATGTGCTCTTCTTCCATTTGCTTTTTGTTTAACGCAGCTCGTCTCCTCTGCCAGATTACGATCTCTTTAAGGACAGTATAAGGATATTGATCAAGTTTGTTTCTCTATAAGCCTTACATACAATAATAGTTTATTGAACAAAAGAATCCCTTGTATGGCCCTCCCACTGGGCAGGACACGGTCCGTGAGAAGGAGAATAGGCTGATGGTGAGCCAGGACGTTTGGACTTATGTTTCCGTGGACTGGGAGCGATGCTCAGTGAGCCGAGACTCTTGAGTTCGAGCAAAGCTAGGAAGGAAGAAAAGGCGATCCGTCTGGATTTCGCCCGGGGGTGGGCAGGAAAGTCGGGGGCCGACCCCCGAATCTTGGTTCTCAGAGGGAGCTCGAGCTTGAGGAGGTTTCGAATTGGAAGATACGAAGCTTCTAGTTTGCTGTTGACTGCCGCGGAGGTCGGTGACGCGGGTACCGAGTGTCCGCGAGCGTCGGGGACTCCGCGGTCCAGAGTGGGCGGGGAAGGGCCTTGCTCCCGGCTCCTAGGCACCGCCCCTTCCGAGGGAGCTGGCTCGGATTGGCTGTTCTTCCTTGACGCCATGCAGTCCCGACCCGGCGCGCGCCCTGCCGCGTGCCCACCCACGCGCGGCTGCTGCAGCCTAAGCTATCTCTACCACAGCCTGTCCGCGGAGCGGGTGCCTGAGCCCCAGCGGCGAGGAGCTCGTCGTGGGGCTCCTGGGCCGCGGCGGCGGGCAGGCGATGCTCCAGAGGCTTGAGCAGCCATGGAGGCCGAGACGGGCGGCCTGGAGGAGCTGACGGATGAAGAGATGGCGGCTCTGGGCAAGGAGGAGCTGGTGCGGCGCCTGCGGCGGGAGGAGGCGGCGCGTCTGGCGGCTCTGGTGCAGCGCGGCCGCCTCATGCAGGAGGTGAATCGGCAGCTACAGGGTCACCTGGGCGAGATACGCGAGCTCAAGCAGCTCAACCGGCGCCTACAGGCCGAGAACCGCGAGCTGCGCGACCTCTGCTGCTTCCTGGACTCGGAGCGCCAGCGAGGGCGGCGAGCCGCTCGCCAGTGGCAGCTCTTCGGGACCCAAGCATCCCGAGCCGTGCGCGAGGATCTAGGCGGTTGTTGGCAGAAGCTGGCCGAGCTGGAAGGCCGCCAGGAGGAGCTGCTGCGGGAGAACCTGGCCCTTAAGGAGCTCTGCCTGGCGCTGGGCGAGGAGTGGGGCCCGCGCGGCGGTACCGGCGGCTCGGGGGGCTCTGGCCCTGGGCCGACACCCGAGCTGGCCTTGCCCCCCTGCGGTCCCCGTGACCTGGGCGATGGAAGCTCCAGTACCGGCAGCGTGGGCAGCCCCGATCAGTTGCCCCTGGCCTGCTCCCCAGATGATTGAGGGCACAGCTTCGCGCCGACGCCCGCCCGGATTGCTCCTCCAGCGCGGAGATTGCGGTGGACCTCGGCACCCGGACGCCGCCCCCGCTGCGCACGAGGGGCCGCTGGCATGGACTTAGAAACCCTAACACTGAGGAGGGCCCCTGGCGCTCGCTGGCGGGGCAGGAGGGGGACTGGAGGCTGGAGCGGAGGGACTTGCTGGGGGCTGGGTGGAGGCTAATAAACTGAGGCGGAAGCAGAGCCCATGGCTGGGGCAGCGTCTGTTTGGGACTCGCCGGCGTTGGGACGAGGGCGGGGACGTTGAGACTGGGTACCATTCCCATCTGGAGGGACTGCAGAACTAAGGTGTCTGACTCCCCCATTACTTGCATCCTGGGGCGGGATGTGGGACCGTGGTAAGCCACTGGCTCCCCCCATCAGGCCCCAGGACAGGCCGTAATCCAGCCCCTGAAGTGGCTCCAGCTCCCTTCCCGGCTCCTTCCTGTCCAAGACAATGGGGCAGGAAGCAGGTGTTGGGGGCCTGAAACCCACTCAGCCGCCTCCCGGGAGGCTGGAAGGGGCATAACAGTGCCCTCCTGTGGGAGTACTGTGGGCCCCCACCAGGAGGAGGATGGTAATCCTCTTGGCTTCGCACCTCATAGCACTTCTGTGCCTTCTCTCAGTCCTGGAGCTGAGGCAGAACAGACGTAGCCTCACTTGTCAGATAAGAAAATCAAGGTCCAGAAATATCAAAGAATTTGTCCAAGGTCATGTAGTGAATTGGTGGAGCTGAAATGGGAGCCTAGGGCTTCTGGCTCCAAATCTTCTCCCTTTAGCCTCTGGGTCCAATGAGAGCAGGCTAGAGCTGCAAGCCTTTTATTCCATTTTGGCAGGTTTGTATAAAAATACTCTCTTTAGGAAAATAAATAGCAGCTGCCCACGCTGTGGAGGCTTGGAGCTAAAGTCTTCTCAGAGCTGGGGCTGCAGGTCAGCTCATCATAGAAACCTCTGGCACCTCCTGAGCTGTTCCACTTATGAGGGGCTGGCAGAGTGTCCTGGTTCAATAACCTGGTGCTGCTGGCAGTGGGGCTGGGTGAGTTAGTGTTCTCGGCGGGTAGAGCATCACCTCCTGTCAGGGGTAGGGTTGGGTGAATCACAGGAAGAGGGTGATGGTGACTATAGGGGTGATCTGCAGGGATTTAGGGCTCCAGAGGACCTCTGAGAATCTACAAAGTCCCTTGGGAGCTGCCCGGAATTTTCTCCAACAAACAGGAACCACTTTGTCTCTGACTTAGTGCAAATTGTGCTAGAGAGGCCAGCTCTAGAGAAAGAGGGGGCAGCTTTGGTAGCCCCAAGCTGGCACTACCAGGAAGCAAAATATGCCCAGTCTCATCTGGAGGGATGGAGAAGAATCTGCTGGGGTTGGACATGAGATATGGTCCAGGCCAGCTGGACCAATGGGCAGGGAAATATTGGTGAGGGTAGCACCCGCAGGGAGTGGGGGCTGGAGTGCCTCATAAGGCCAGGAGGGTTGGGGAGCCAAGGGGGTCAGAAGAGGGGTCCCCACTGCTGCTGCTACTCCTGCGGTGGGCTGAGGCACAGGGCTCCGGTGTGCTGGGGTAGGTGAAGACCAGACTGGGGGTGAAAGGAGTCAGGGAGGGTGTGGTCATGAGCGTGGGAGTGTGCAATGCTTCGGGTTCAAGCACAGGCCCTGGGGAAAGGGAGATACGAGGCACAGAGCGGGAGGGGGCTGGTGGGCTGCTGGTGCCACTGGTACCGCCTGTGCCGCTGGTTTCGCTCTCCTTGGCCCCTTCCGGGATTTTGCAGATGGGGCGGTGGGCTTCCAGCACCAGCTCCAGGCGCTCCTTCTGTTTCTGCAGCTCCTCAATCTCTCGCTGCAGCCCGGATTTCTCGTCCTCCAGTTTGTCGGTCTCCTGTGGACGATCAGGAGAGGAGTCAGGAGGATGAGGGCTGAATACCGCGGAGCCTCCCACTGTGGTAGTGATTGGAAGGTTGGGGCGCGGAAGGTGGGTGGTGGTGGCGAGGGGGCGGGGGGAGTGGGGAGTCTCCAGCAAGTCTGGACTACAACTCCCATGAGTCGATGGGAGAAAATGGGCACGACTCCCATCAGGCTCGGGGGGCATCTTCGAAGGACATTGTCGGTCCCAGCTTCAGCTCTTCTCTGTTCAGAGAGAGACCCGCTGCAATTAATTTTTAATCACATTTTCCTCGTCGGAGTGCGCCTCCGACAGGGAGCCGGGGGTGGGGCAGGGGACTTCATATACCGGCGCCCCCTGCGGCCCCGCGGGCTCTTGGGAACTGGGGGCCTTCTGAGGTTGGGTGGGCCGGGACCTGGGCACCCTCCGCACTCGCCGGTGCTCACCGCCTGCAGGAAGTCGGTCAGTTCTTTCCTCCGGTTCCTGCACTTGGCCGCGGCTAGCTTGTTCCTCTCGCGCCTCACTCGACGGCGTTCCTCCTCCTCGGGGCTGATCTGGGGAGGGTAGAGAGAGCAGTGAGGTGGACCCTGTGCTGCTGGCCCAGTGAGTGGTAGGAGCCTGGCCGAGGGCATGGCAGCGCAGGGGCACCCTCAGGCTGCGTTTTGGGACCTCTGCACCCCGACCGGTTCCCCGCTTTAGTAAGCTTGGATGAGTCATATTTCCTCCTCGCACCCAGCTTTTGCCTCCTATGATTCCTCTCGGAATGCCCTTCCCGTCCTTCTACAAACCTTAACCCTCCTCCTCTCCCAGGCTCAGCTAAGATTCCCCACCCGACCCCGGCCGTTCCTGGAAGCTTCTTTCATTCCGCAGCTATAAGTGGCCTTTCCTCCCATGAGCCTCTGGGACCAGGCCACTCTTTTTAAAAGGACCCTCGTTCTTTTCAGTCTCTTGATAACCGAGTCTCCTCTTCCCCAGGGGCTGTAAGCACCAAGAGGGGCTAATGAGAGCTGCTAAGTAGTTGTTCATCGGGAATCTACTATGTGCCAGCTAAGAGCTTTACACAGATTCCTTTTAATCATTTAAGTTTTATTTATTTTTTTTATACAGCAGGTTCTTATTATCTATTTTATACATATTAGTGTATATATGTCAATCCCAGTCTCCCAGTTCATCCCACCCCACATGCCCCCCCACCCCGCCGCTTTCCCCCCTTGGTGTCCATACGTTTGTTCTCTACATCTGTTTATAAAGATTCTTAACCCAACTTTTCGTGTAAGGAACTGAAGCCCAGAGAAGAAAGAATAACTTGTTTGTGGTTCCAGAGCAGAAATTAAAATCCACTCACTCTATTTAACATTGAGAAAGAGGCCAGCTGATGGAGACCACCTCCCCCGAAAGGACCCCACTCACAGCTCACAGCCTCAGTCTAGGAGTACCCAGGATCATGGCTGAAGGAAGTCCAGGAGCCTGCCTCTGGGGCTTACACCATGGTCTCCTTCCAGTTGGTCACAAAAGCCAGCCATTCTGTTTCTGGGGAAGTCACCCCTGGCCGACGGCACATCTTTGTTAGGATCCTGACGTCTTCCCCATCCTCTACCCTGCTGTCAGAGCAAGCTCCTTAATGTGCAGACCTCACCGACTATAGTCTCAGATACCAAAATGCCCCAGGGAGAGGAAAGTGGAACCACTCCCTAAAGACCCTCTAGCTCTTATTCATTTATTTTGGCACGGACTTTATTAGCAGTGTGCTGCTAAGAACCGTGGTTTGGGAGGTAAGAGTTCCCAGCTCTCTAAGCTTCAAGCCTTCTCTTAACCTCCTGGTGAGACAGTGTGGATTAGTGGTTACGATCTGACTTTAGAATTGGACAGACCTGTCTCATTACTCACTACTTGTGTGATCTTGGGCAAGTGACTACCTCTCTGTGCCTTCATTTCCTTGGCTGTAAGATGGGGAATACCAGAGTTCATTCCCAAGAGGGTTTTCGTGAGGATTAAATGAGATAAGAAACAGAGCCTCAGAGAGTAGCTGAAGGGAACCCTCCTCTTTCTGTTCTCTTCCCAGCAACATAGACAGCATAAGCCCGCCCTCTCCATACCTGTCAGCAGCTGGAGACCCTCTACTGTCCACACAACTTTCCACACATACACCTTGCATGTTCTCACTGCTACCTCCGTTCCTTCTCCTGCCATCCCCTCTTCCTGGAATGTCTTTTCTTTCATCTTTCTCTCTATTCAAATCCTACCCATCCTTCTAGGCCTGTAGGAAGCCTTCCTTGATCCAGAAGTGACTGCTTTGCCCTCTGGGTCTCCCCAGGGGGTCTCATCACTTTCTGTCTTGGCCAGTAGTCACCAGTGGGTCTGTTCTCCCCATGCCCCTTCTAAGCCTGCGTTCTGGGCAAGAGCTTATGCTCTGCACCTCAGCATCCCTGTGGGCACAAGAACCCGTGCAAACGCCACTGCTTCTTACCTGTTCACAGGGCCGGCGACGCACTGCTGGAGTTTGGCCCAGGGCCCGTATGACTCCTGGCCGGGGCTGTGGGGGACTGTACTGGGGGTAGGCCAGAGGCCTGGGGTAGCTGCTGGGTCCCAGGAAGTGAGGCTGAACCATCCACTGCAGCTCCTGGCTGCCACTCACAGTGTTGATGCTTGGCACGAGGTGGAACTTCTGAGGGATAAGACATGGAGGGCCAGGGATAAGGTCTCTGTGGATTGAGGGGCTTCCAGTAATAAAGTGTGAATTCCAGGTGCTGTCCCAACCACTTTACAAATACTGACTCATATAATTTGCACAAGAGTATCTTCATTTTCTGACAGGAAAACAGTTGTCCCTAGACACACAGCCAATAAGTGGGAAGTGGGGTTTGGATCCAGGCAGCCAGGCTCTTCTTACCCACTTTTGCACCCTGCCTGAGTCCCATCTACATAAAGAGGATAATGACAGCCCCTAACTTCGAGGGTGACTGTGAGAATCAGGTGAGAGAATGTGTGTGTGACAGAGCCTGGTAACTGGCAGGTGCCCAACACACAGGGGCCATGGTGGGCAAGAGCCACTGCTCTGAGTTCAAGCTAGCCCAGTTCTAATCTTAGCTCAGCCATTTACTGGCTGTCAGGGCGAATTATTTAACTTCAATGTGCCTCCGTTTCCTTGTTTTTAATATTGTCATAGGTGAGGATTACAGCATTTCACTGATGCTAACAAGTTCCCTTCAGTAGCTCTGAAATCATAGTTGAATTGGTAACTTTAAAAAAAAAATTAGTGGCACAAAATAATGGTGGGTTTTAAAATCAGTGGGGTCTTGGATTCTGTGAGGTAAAGTAAATGAGGTGGAAACTGCCCATCACAATGCAAGGCTGCACAGTATGCGCTCCAGGTATTACCTGTCATGATACTTTCAGCCAGAAACGTGAGGAATGGGTTGAGATGGGGGCTCAGTGTTCCGGAGGAGAACTGGGTTCAAGCCCAGGCAAGTCTGGACAGCAGTGTCCCCGGCTCAGCGCTGCGGGCCTAGTGACCCAGTGACCCCAGTTCCGGGCCGAGGTGCCGCCGGCGGCATCTCCCGCTCCCGAGGTTGTCCGGGCCCGGGACGCTCCGAGCCAGGAAGGGAGGGGCGCTCCGGGTGAGTCAGCCACCGTGACTCGCCGCCGTGACTCGGCGGAACGGACGCCGCTCCTTCCCTCCCCTAGCGACACGTGCTCACGGCCCCTCGACAGGAAATGGGCACCTGCAGCCTCCCGGGTCCCCCCTCAACCCTCAGCGGACGCCGTTCGGTGCCGAGAGTCGGGGGCGCGGGAGTTGCCGCTGCAGGACCTCGCGCACTTCCGGCACCTCGCGGTTTCCACCGGCCCCAACCCGTAAAAGGGTCAAGGGCCAGTCTCCCGGGGCCCACCAGGCTCCACTGCGCCGAGATGGGGATGAGGACTTGGCGACGGGGTGGGGAGGGACAAACAAACGGTCAGGCACACGGATGATCACAGACAGACTGCCGAGGATTCGCAGTCTGTCGGGGCTAGCCTGGCGGTGGATCCCGTGCGTAGGGACGTCTCGGCGGCCGCGGCTCAGACTCCGGACCTCGGAAAATGAGTCCGAGATGGATCAGACCCTCTATGATCCTGTCGGGGCTAGGACTAATCCCGGACTAAGGGGTCCCCTTCCGACGTAGATGGGACAAAGAAATTAGCGGTGAACAGGAAGAAGGAAAGAAGGTAACGGAGACGGAGGGACAGATAGACAGCAGACAGAGACGGGAAGGGGTACGAGCGCGAGAGGGGATGTTCGCAGATGTTTGCTCCGCCCGCCGCGCCCGTTCCGCTGGGGAGTGGGGGAGAAAGTGCCCTTAGACAGCGGAGAATGGGCATAATCCGCTGCCACTGCTCCGAGACCCATTCCCTGCTCCTTGTTCCCGGTCCCAGTCCCCGAGTGTGCGGGAGCGGCCCGCACAGTCCCAGGCTCTGTCCACCTGGGGATCCCAGGCGTCGGGTTCCTCTCACCTGCTGGCCTGTCGCCGGGGGCTGCGCCGGGCCGCCGTACGCACCACCGGCCCCGGAGCTCGGCCCGGGTTCCCCGTAGTCTCGGAACATGCCCTGGGCTGGCTGCTTTGTGGGGTCCGCGTCGGCGGCTTCGGTTCTGACTCACTCGCTCCTAGCGGAGTCTTTTCTCTTTATGAATGAGAAGTCCTCGGGCTGAACCACTTCCACTGGGGGTGGGAGCGGAGAGCGGGCGTATCGCAGCGGCTCTGGACAACTCTGGGCTCCACCTCTCCAGACGCACTGCCTTTTGTCAGTCCGCCCTGAACTTTTCATCGCTTCCTACGATCCAGTAGCCGACTTTTGTTGGGCAAAAGGGGAGGACTTGGCGGCCCCCAGAGACAGCGGCGGGTCCGCCCCCTCTGACGTAGCTGCCCATACATGGTGCAATTTCCTCGCCGCGCCCAGGTGGAGCGAAGGATTCCCCCGCGGACAGACGCACCTGAGAGCAGCCGGGCGCCCCGCCCCACCCAGCCCCGCCCAGGCCTCAAGCGCAGACCTAGACCTCCGCCGCCAGACTCCAGAGCCTCTCACTGCTTGGTCTGGCCTCAGTGTTTGCATCCGTAAAATGGGACGAAATAATCACATAGCGAGCTTCCCACGCGTGGGAAGTTGGAATGAAGAATGTGAAAGTGGTCTGGAAACTGTAAATCGGATTATAAATGTGATTGATGTAATTATTATCATCATCATCATTTACTGCCAGGGACCGTGCTACTGCCATTATTTCATGCCAGGAATCGTGCTACTACCATCCAAGTCTCGGGGTGAGGCCCACTCACTTGCATTGTTTTAGGGTTCAGGTATACTAAAAAGTGAATAAATGACAAACCAGGGTTACCAAAATGGTGTATATTTTAAATGCTTACAATGACATATTAATGCGTTGAACTACCCACAAATGCAATGCAATATAATTGCACTACTCTCAGGATAATCTCAGGAGCTATAACAAATTTTAATTCAGAGCCCCTATAAGCAGTGAGAGCCTGTGGTGGGACACAGTTGTCCTGTGCTCTGATAAACGCCATCTTCTTTAAATACTGTAACTGCTCTTCCAGGACTGCATAGTCACCACCCTTGTTTGGGGATTATGTCAAAGGTCTGTGTGAATGTGAGGCCAGGACCAAATGTCAACAACCAAAGACCAACAACCATGGGAGGTAGGTGTCGTTATCATTCCCATTTTACAGGTGGGGAAACTGAGGCTGAGAGATGTTGAAATGAGGTGCCTAAGATCACTAAGCCAGTGGCTGAAGCAGGTTGCCAAATCAGGGCTGTGGGAGCTCCAAGCCCGGGCTCAGGCAAGGGTTTTCAAAGCCCTCACAGACAGACATGTTTTCACACATGCACAATATCAGTGCTGAGAGAACAACCCTGAAACTTCTTCTTTGCCTCTTCCCATTCTACAGATGAAGAAACTGAGGAGAGAACAAGGAGCTGCCAGTGTCACACAACTATACAGAGAGAGAGTTGGGCTCTCCTGCTTTCCACTGGTACCTCCTTTTTAAAAAATTGTTTATGTGTTTATTTATTTATTTTTGGCTGTGTTGGGTCTTTGTTACTGTGCGCGGCCTTTCTCTAGTTGCGGTGAGCGGGGGCTACTCTTTGTTGCAGTGCGCAGGTTTCTCGTTGTCGTGACTTCTCTTGTTGCAGAGCACGGGCTCTAGGCGCACAGGCTTCAGTAGTTGTGGCATGTGGGCTCAGTAGTTGTGACTTGCGGGCTCTAGAGCTCAGGCTCAGTAGTTGTGGCGCACGGGCTTAGTTGCTCCGCGCCATGTGGGATCTTCCCGGACCAGGGCTCGAACCTGTGTCCCTTGCATTGGCAGGCAGATTCTTAACCACTGTGCCACTAGGGAGGCCCTCCATTGGTACCTCCTTTTGATCAGCTCCAGTTTTGTCCTCAGGGAGGGAAGATTTCAGGAAGGTGGGGACCTGGGCTGCCTTACTTGGGGACAGACGTCAGGGTCAGTTGACACATTCAGGACTTAGAGCCAAGAGGCCAGCTTGGCCCTGGGCTTCCAGTCTCAGTACCACCATTTTCTTTCTCTGTTACCCTGGGCGGGTCACCTTCCTGCTAAGTCCCACTCCCAATGGAAATAATTGAGCCTCCTGCTGACCTCATGGGGTTGCTATGGGATCAGATGAGATCACAAATGTGAAAGTGCTTTGTAGGCCGTAAAGTGATGTGCACTCAGAAGGTGGTTACCAGCCTGGTGCCTCTCCCTTGCCCTTATTCTACTCAATGCTTGTCATTCTCTAAAAAGAAAAGGAACCACCAGCAGTTTACCAGAATGAGAAATATATGGGGGTGTGTGTGTGTGTGTGCACGTGTGTGTGTGCATGTGCGTGCATGAGAGAGAGAGGGAGAGAGAGAGAGAGAGAGATTTTTTCAGGCAGTGTGATTCACGGAAAAGAACAGATATGCTGGAATCAGACAAGCCTGAGGTCTGAATTCGAATTCTGGTTAGGCTGCTCGCCAGCTGTGTGCTCTGGATGAGGCATACAGTCTCTCAGAGCCTCATCTGTAAAATGAAGACATAACGATAACTATATAGTGATAACGTCTCAGGGTTGTCGGAGAATAGATATAAAATGATGTCACATGCTTCATACAGCATATAGTAAACATTTGACAAATAGCAAAAATAATTACGTGTTAATAAAAAGCCCCAGGGCTGGGAGCTCTGGGGGCTCTGATCACATGCTAAGGTACTCATGCGCATACACACACACTAACTGATATCTGAATTCCTTGGCTAAGTCCAAGCAGGACAGGTCGGAGTGACACAGGCAGCCAGGTTGTGGCACATGCGAGGCTTAACACAGGTCAGCCTTGACTGCATTCGTCTGCCGGCTCCAGAAACACCACCCTACCCCCACTCCCCAAGCAGCCTGGGACAGTGACTGAGCAGGGGCTCAGGTTTCGTGTGTGTGTGTGTGTGTGTGTGTGTGTGTGTGATTACGTGACTCTGAAAGTCCCTTCCTGCTCTAACCGTCAGTGGAGCCACAAGGAGGTCCTTTCAGAGGCAGCACATTCCAAGCTCCTCAGTCACTAACGCCCGCCTCGTGGCTGCAGTAACGTTCCTGGCCCCTGACCTCACCGGCTCCCACCCAGGGAGGCCTGGTGAGAATCCCAGGGGGCCACAGTGGTTTCAGGAGTCTGGGGGCTGGGAGGTCTGAAAGATCCAGGCATTGTCCCTTGGCAGCTGTGTGAGACTGGCTCAATCACCTTCCCTCTCTGAGTCCCTGACAATCCCCACCTCCTGAGGCTGCAATGAGGTGAAAGGAGGTGGTGGATGAGTGTGCCTTGCGCCCAGTAGGTTCTGTCAATGCTCCCAGGGCATTGTAGGTGATGTTTGTTTTCCAGTTTGCATTCACTTTCTACATTGACGTTTATTTAGTTTTAAAATTGAGGTGAAATTCATATAACATACAATTAGCCATTTTTAATTAATGTTTTGTTAAAGTCTTTTAATTAATGAATTGATTTTTATTTTTGGCTGCGTTGGGTCTTCCTTCCTGCACATGGGCTTTCCCTAGTTATGGCGAGCTGGGGCTATTCTTCGTTGCAGTATGCACACTTTTCATTGTGGTGGCTTCTCTTGTTGCGGAGCACGGGCTCTAGGCGCGTGGGCTTCAGTAGTTGTAACTCGCGGGCTCTAGAGCGCAGGCTCAGTAGTTGCAGCGCACGGGCTTAGTTGCTCCGCGGCATGTGAGGTCTTCCCGGACCAGGGATCGAATTCGTGTCCCTGCATTGGGAGGCGGATACTTAATCACTGCGCCAACAGGGAAGTTCCTTCCTAGCCTTTTTTTTTTTTTTTTTTTGCGTACATGGGCCTCTCCCGTTGTGGAGCACAGGCTCAGCGGTCATGGCTCACGGGCCCAGCAGCTCCACGGCATGTGGGATCTTCCCAGACCAAGGCCCGAACCCGTGTCCCCTGCATCGACAGGCGGAATCTCAACCACTGCGCCACCAGGGAAGCCCCTTCCTAGCCATTTTAAAGTGTACACTTCAATGGGATTTTGTGCATTCACGATGTTGTGCAACCACCACTTCTCTCTAGTTTTAAAACTTTTAAATTATCCCAGAAAAACACTCCATATCCATTAAGTAATGACTCCCAATTAGCCCCTCCTCCCATCCCCTGGTATCCACTAATCTGCTTTCTGTTTCTACAGATTTGCCTCATATGGACATTTCATATAAATGGAAAATTTATTGTACAATTTGTGACCTTTTGTGTCTGGCTTCTTTCACTTAACATAATGTTTTCCAGGCTGATCAGTGTTGTAGCAAGTAGCAACACCTCATTCCTTTTTATGGCTGAATAATATTCAATTGTATGGCTATACCACAATTTATTTATTCATCAGTTGATGGACGTTGGGTTGTTTCTACTTTTTGGCTATTATGAATAATGCTTCTGTGGACATTGTGTACAAGCTTTTGTGTGAACATGTGTTTCCATTTATCTTGGGCATATACCGAACAGTGGAATTGCTGGGTCATATGGTAACTCTCTGTGTAATCTTGTGAGAACTGCCAGACTGTTTTACACAGTGGTTGTACCCTTTTACATTCCTACCAGCAGTGCCTGAGGGTTCTAATTTCTCTACATCCTTGCCAACACTTATTATTTTCTGTTTTTAAAATATATTCTAGAGGGTGTGAAGTGATTGTGTCTCTTTTTCTTTTTTGAATTTTATTTTATTTA